GTATATATATAGTGTGTGTGTGTGCGCGCGCATGTGTGTGTGTGTGTGTATACTGTATCTTTCCAATAAATGTTTTAAATGATCTGAGAACAACATTTGTTTGATTCAGTTTTAACCAAAACCATGTGTGCAACTCTAATCGTTCAACAATGTACAACCGAATCAAATCATTCTTTGTCTTTTCTTAGACTAATAAAGGTAAACAGCTTTCTGTGATAACATCTCTATTCTTGAGTTTTAAATTTCTCCTTATTTACTTTCCAGTTCTTCACCTTTGAACAGTACAAGAAAATACTTGGAAATGTTTCTCTATCACCAGCTTTGGTAAGTGATAGTTTGCAGTTCAGAATATACAAATACATGTAATATACATACATTACATAGTGTGCTATCTTCAAATTGGGCAAGACACTGGAGATAGGAAAAAAGGCAGAGTTAAACTGGATGAGATCCAAATACTCCAGACACTAATAACAAATTATTTTACTCATATATAAACAGAAGTATTGGGGGAGGGCGCATCAATGGAAGCAAATGATGAAAGGAGTGTTGTGCCAATGTGACACAACCTCTGCCCATTTGTATGTGCATTGTGATATGGCATGCATGTGTACAACAAGCAGAGCTTGCACTGCAAAAATGTAATACTGCTTTTGTCACTTGGAAAGAAACTTCCAACCTTCATACACCTCTGTGCATGAAGAAAGAGTGGATACCTTCTCGTTGGCAGCCATCTGGTCTTGAGGACCTTGAGAGGAGACTTTTCAGATGGCTTCTAGTTTAGAGGAAGCTCTAAAACATTCTGTACATGTGGAGCCTCTGCTCTTGCCAGCCTGGATTTCACTAGTTGTTTATTTGAAACAGGGATGACAAACCACATCCCATGGGAAACGTGCAGCCTCGTGATCCATTAGTGCACCCCCAGAACCTCCTGAAATCATTCTGAAATTTTGCAGAAAACTTCAAAAGAAGAAGAAAAGGATGCAACTTCTTACACAAAGCAACAGGAAATAGAAAAGAGAACCCCAGTCAGGGAAAGAAAGAAGGGGAGGGAGGGAGGGAGGGAGGGAGGAAGCACAACTACCCTGGAAATCCTGCTTCAGCTCATTAGTAAGATGTCATGAAATTATTTCCCTTCCCTCTGTGGCCCTTGCTTGGGCAATAGAAGTAAAATCTGCTTTATGATTTTTGGATAGTATGAATGTTAAGAAATCCTAGGTAGTCGGCTGCCCAGGCATCAATCCAAATAGATGACTCTTAAATTGTTAGCAAAATGCAATTGGAAGGGGTGATTAACAATAAATCCTGATCATCTGGATAATAAATTTTTTAGTTAAATGGGTTAGGGAACTAGATGTATTTCCTGAATTTTTGGCTCTTTCAGTGGAAATTTTGTGACAAGCGTAAAAAGTATGTCATATACTTGCTTAACATATAAAGTGGAAAACTCCTACTAAAATGTACATGGAATGGAAATGAAAGGGGCATGATCATTTTTTAACATATTGTGTTTAACCACTACATTACTGTTATATCACTCTAATCATCTCTGACTCATGAAGGATCCCTTCCCACACTCCCTTTATTGAACTTCCACATTTTCCAAAGAATACAAGGTAAATTATTAAAGATGCTGTATACCTTTTTAACAGAGAAAATGGTAATTCATCTTGCAGATGTATGTACTAGGATAAACTTTTCAGTGTATTCTGAATAAATAATACAGTGGCTCATTGAGTTTCATAGACTAGCATACTTCTCATGTTTTATAAAGCCATGGCAGAAAGAAATGGAAGAATAATCCAAGAGGTGTTCTGTATGAAGAGTGTGGAAGAAAACAAAAGATATATGTCCACGTCAGGGATAACCTCTCCAGATCTCACAAAGAGAAACATACGTGATTGCTGAGCACAGTAAAGAGGGGATATAGGGTCTGTAATACCCATCAATGAACTGTTTCAGTCCAACAGGTAGTTACTGGATTAGGAATCCTTGCAAGGGCAAGTTCAACCTGTCATTCACATGCTGGGTCTTTATATCTGAATGATCAGATTGCACAGATAGTTCCAAAACCACTATAGCATGTACTTGGCCAATTAGCAATTATCATGCCTTATAAATTGGCTATGATACTGAGACTGGGCAAAGGAAAAGTATACTTGTTGGGGTTCTGGGAAGTATGGAAAATGGAAAAATATACTATTATCTATTTAGATGACATCGTCATTTTCAACAGCACTTGGCAAGAACATCTAGCACACCTGCATGAAGTATTTAACTGTTTGCAAGGAAGACAACTTACTGTTAAACAGCCCAACTGCTCATGAGCCCAACCAAAAGTAAGATATCACAGTTTTAAAGTAGTTCAAGGGATCTTTAAATCCCAAACTGACAAGGTGGAAGCCATTCACAAATTGGTTCAACCCAGAAACAAAACAATAGTCTGAAAGGCCCTTGGGGTGATAGGCTGGCATAGATGATTATATCTAAATTGTCATATACTGCTGCTCCTTTAACTGAACTCACACAGAGGGCAAACCTACAAAAAGAACATGAGAAGATACTTTAAAATTCTAAATTAACTATCTGTGAGGCTTCAGTGTTCAAGAACTTGAATTTTTCTCATGAGTTTAAAGTGAAAGTGGAAGTGTCTGCATTGGAGTAGTACTAAAACAGGGCCCTCCAGGAAAAGAAGGCCTCATTGCTTACATTGAGTAAGACGATACTTTGAGAACTGATTCCAGACATGATATGGTATGATATTCAGCCAGACAACAAGCATGTCTAGCCATCAAATGGGTCTTGAAATCCTTACATTAATAGCTGATGGGGAAGCTCTTCACCATCACCATGCTTAGAAGTGGTTACATTCTATGCAGTGAACGTTCTTGAAGCTAATCCAGTGGTCCACTGGGCTGCAACCTACCATCAAGCACATACCCAAGAAGGAGAATGTGGTAGCTGATTGCCAGACACTAGAAGAAGACCTGACCGCTATAAAAAAGTCAATGTCCTCCATGGAAGATCTCCACTGCAGATTGACATTTATAAAAAGTGAGACAAGAAGTGGACCAAAAGAGCCCCCAGTGACTTCCAATTCAGTAAAGAGCATCAGCTGGTGCTTCCCCATCCCACTTCTAGAACTGAATTTCAAAGATTCCTATAAAGGACTATCTAGCCTTGAAGGGGAGGGTGGTAAAGTGAAGGGAAACACCTGATTCCCAAGAAGTAATTCCAGACCTCACTTCAGCCAGAAGCAACCCAATCTATTAGCTCAACTAGAGAGAAACTGATCCTAAGGCCCCACTTTCCACAGATGGAATTGCCAATTAGCATGGAAGGACTACTCACTCAGAGGACAAACCTACAAAAACCCCTTAGTCCAAAGAACATGAGAAGATACATGAGAAGATATGGAGGTGCATACAACATTCCATATCCTACATAAAGCCTCCTAATGCACTGCCTGGATATACAATGGGGGTAAGTGGAAGGAGGTCTGCTATGGGATTTCTCTGAGTGTGAGTGATGTGGTTGGAAGAGCCTTGGTTATTGTTCTGTGTTGGACTAACCATAAAAGACTAAAGTCTGAATGAGGGCTATTCATATTAAAATATAGATCATGTACAATGTATCATCTTACTCGATGTGTAGAAGAATATTGAGAGATTATTCTGAGGAACTTGTAAATTACAAAGACCCAAATGTTCCATTCCACAGAATTCTGTGCAACTTTGCTAAGACTGCCAGTGTCCTTAGTAGGGGATAGTCCCAGGTAAGTATGCTTAATTTTGAGCCAAATTTACATTTAAGTATTTCTGCCTATGCATTGCAATTTCCCAATTTTTCCCCCTCTGGCTTGTTTACAAAGTCAGAGGCATTTCCTGAAATGATCCTCATCTCAAGTTTCAGCTGATTCTGGAAGATACAGGGACTACAAAAGTCCTGCTGCATTTATTAACTCATTTAAAGTTTTAAACACCATCTCAATCTGTGCTGGACTTTTGTCAAGTATGGTGAATATTTTTTGTTTATATTGGTAGAGGTGTATTTTGGGAATGTTCATGTGTGTCCAGAAATCCTAAGTGGGGAGGGGGGGATGTGTGTCTTGAAGCCACAATCACACTGAGCTTTGGGTATCTTGCAGCTGCTGAATCCAAAGAGATACTTCTCTGGAATGGTTTTTCAATATGTTTTGTATGTGTGTGTGCATATCTATATCAATATATCAGTACAAATAAGCATCTTTTAAACTATTGTACAATGTTTTCTGGCATGCTTTTAGAAGTTTTCAGTGCACTATATTCTATTTTATTAAGTATCAAAGCATTAGCTGATTTGTTAAATGGAACATCTGACTCAGTCTTCTCATTACAGTATTACTGGTTCATCAATTATGTCTTTTCAGATGTGAAATTTGTCTTGGAGAACTTTTCTTCAATGAAATGTTTCATTTAATTGGGAATATAGCAACATTATACTGTATATTCATGGTATTAGATTTATTATTGAATTAACTCTTTGTTTTATATGCTACTTGTAAGCAATATAAAGAATTGTTTTTGTGAGTATATGATATACATAATAATGGGTAAATTATTCTAGATGGAGCAGTGCTTTCTTCCTAAATAGGATGTGGATGGTATGCTTTTCCCATATGTATTTCTTAAAACAGTCACAAAGCTTTCTTTCCAGCTAAAGGAAATGCATTGTTGATAGGACTTTGACATTTTATTTTGAATATTTGGAATGTGGTTTGTGGCTTTTGTGATTTTTTCTGCATGAACTGTCAACATCTAATCAAGGACGAAAGCTGTTTAGTAATGGTATACTACTGCAGAAGGGTTGGTCTCTCCACTTTCATCATATTAGTTGGCTTAATGCTCAGTTTTACAATGTGATGTACGGGGATGTTTTACCATAGTGCACATGAGAACTGATTGATTTAACTCTTTTAGACATTTGCAGTTGCTGGCTTGGGATCCGGGCTAACAGAAGCAGTTGTGGTTAACCCTTTTGAAGTAGTCAAGGTTAGCCTCCAGGCAAATCGGGATGCTTTCAAAGAGGTAGAGTAACTTGGATATTTTTTCAATATGTTGGGAAATAGAACTGGTGGATTATATGTATATATCTTCATGAAGCTATGGGGTGGGGGAATCTCTTGAGTTGGTTAAAAATAAGTGGTGGTCCCAGTTTAAGTGTTGTCCTATCAAAATACCTGGGAAAGCAAATCAAATATGGGTCATATGATGGAATACACACAACGATGGCAAGGGGAGGGGAGGGGAGGGGAGGAGATATTTTAGGAATGAATGCTAAACAGTTTTAGAATATCTTATGCTATAATTTTAAAAAATGAATTTCAGGTTCTATCAGAAGAAGGAAGAGGAGGAAAAAACAAGAGAGAAAAGGCTTTTTTCCTCCTACCTTATTCTGCTAAGTTCTGTACTGTGCACATGAGCTGCTTCAAAATTGTGTGATGAAGTCTCCCCAAGCATTTTCATAATAGTAAAAAGTTAGCTATTGGAAGGGAGCATTAGAAATTTAAATGTGATAGCATGCGTAAGCTACCATATTTCTTAGTCTAGAACAACAGGAGACTCGAACGCTGTAATGTAATCCCTTAGTAGATATGAATGTGTGAACTGGTCAAAGGGATCACAGCTGGCCAATCCTCTGATTCATTAGCAACTATAGACATAGTGATGAACAAATGTAGGTTTGGAGGTGGTATCCAGATGCCAGATGTAATAAAGGAATGGATTTTTGTGCACTTAATAGTATAACTTACATGACAGAGCTTTATTCTTATTTGTGGCTGCCCAACATAGGTGGAACCAAACATGCATAATTCATTTCTCTCCACATGTTCACACCATCAGATTTATCCAAAGGCCTATCCACAAACAGCCACATATTGAAGATCACACATAACAACAATCTGGTAATTATATATTTAAGTACTAGACTAAAACAGAGAGCCAGTTTAGTATAGTGGTTAAGGTACCAGGCTAGAAATCGGGAGACTATATGAGTGCTAGTCCTGCTTAAGAACAAAAGCTAGATGGATGACTTTGAGCCAGTCACTCTCTCTCAACCCTAGGAAGGAAACACTGGCAAACCACTTCTGAAATCTTGCCAAGAAAACTGCAGGGCCCACGCAGTCACCAGGAGTCAATAATGATTTGAAGGCGAATGAATGAATGAATGAATGAATGAATGAATGAATGAATGAATGAATGAATGACCAAAACAATTGAACAGGTTCTAAATGCCCTTTCTATATATAGCCAAAAGTATTCAGTATTCTCAGTTGAATGTTTTGCTTTTTTTGTCTCTTTGAGTAGCAAATATGCCTTATCACAAACTACTTTTTAAAGTTTCCTGAATGTTAAATATAAAACCACATGACACAGCAAGGATGATGAAGACTGTGCCCCATTCTCTTGAATGTAGAGTTCTTACCTAGTATTCTGAAGTAAAATTCTGAGACTGCTTTGCCCAACAATGTTCTCATCCAAACCATACCTAATATTTTATTTTATTTATTTTATTTTATTTTTTCAGATACTGTTCTAATTGCCCTTGTGCTGAAGGTCAAGTTTGCCATATGTATGGGTGATATTCGCATTGCGATGAAATGCCCTATTGGCACTACTACCTTCAAAAATGAGATTTTTTTCTTACTCTTGCAACAGAGAAGGTAATAATTAAATGCCCTCTCTAGTCCTGCTCATCTTCACCCTTGCAGACAGATTGATAGTAACTGCATTTTAAAAACTATTCAGAGGTATTCCCAGCACAATCTTATGCATGTTCAATGGTATGTAAGTCCCACTGTTTTCAACTGGATTTAATTACTAAAAAATATACTATATTTGGGATTGTAGAGTTAGGTTGCAATCTGATAACCTGGGTCATACCAAAGTGACTTACTTGAGTAGTTGCAGAGTAGCTGTGGCTTAAGAAACAGCTTTCTAAAATAGAACCTTTCCATCTCAGAAAGGTCTGAGGTCTGCTGTAGAGTACAGATAGCAAGTGCAATTATAATTCAGGAACTTTCAGAAGCTCACAGGAGAACTTCACAACCCCCTTCTGAAACTTAATAATTCTGCTATTCTTTATGACTTCTCTACAGGGTTCTTAAGTAAATAAACAGGGACTTTGACTTCAAATGCAATGGAAATGAATCTCTCTGTGAACAATATGTCTTGACATGTTTGAATATGCTCAAGAGCTTTCTAAAGAAAAGGAAACAGAGAAAAGTGATAGAAAAATCCCTTTCCTAATTTTTTTAATTTAAAAAAATGCTAACAGGGCTTATTGAAGAACTGGCAAAGCACTTTTGCTGGCTTAATTTGTAAGGCAGCTACAAAATTCACTTAATTGGGATAAATAATTTACTCTAATAAAAGGTAATTCACAAATGTATGGACAAGTAAAATGATGAATATAAATACTAAGGATTTTCTTTTCTCCCACTGAAGTCAGTAAAATGCATAGAGCAATCCAGACTAGAATTAGTCAGAATATTAGTCCCCCTTTCAGTCCATAATTAACCAATTCTGAAAACTCAAATTTATTATTTTCTGTTCCATATGTTTCAAGATGAGCTAAATAAATAATTTGATTATTTTCTCAAGAAAATCTCTGCAGTACCCAAATATGATTATAGCAATAATAATTGCTATAATGGGATTATGTTAGTTCCTCTAGGAGTTCAAAGCAATAGTATCCTGTACATGGTGTTCCCTCTTCCAAATGTGTAAGGTAGAGTCTCCCTCAAACCCAGCTTGACTCCTGGTAACTACATAAACACATCCATGTTGTTCTCTTGACAATAGTGTAGAAGTGGCATGCCATTACCTTCTGGGATGTATTTTTGACTTTTCTGTTTGATCTACAACCTTAGTATTCCCTGGTAATCTTTCATCCAGGTACTAATTGAGTTGGCCCTTCTTAGCTTTTTCAAGATCATTCTAAATTAGCAAGGTGCTGCCAGCTACTGTGACTCTTCCAAATAAAGATAGCTTGAACTGAGACTGTCTGCTTCAACTCATGGTTCAACTCATGGTGAGCTTCCATGATTAAGTCAAGGTCTCCTCTCCCTGGGTCTAGTCAACAGGATATTCACTACATTACACTGGCTTTTAACAGACCAAGTTGTAAATACTTGCTAAACGTATGTAAATCAAAGTGAAGCAAAATATTAAAGGAATAGCCAGCCTGACTGTCACCTGAATAAACACAAACCAGATGATTTCGATATGGCAAGAATCATTTGGGTGATTTATTTGGATGATATTTTGTCATTAAGCAAATAGGTACATGACATTAGCATAGTTTAAAGAGCTGTAGTCAAAATGGTCTTCATTTCCCTGTATAAGCATCTTTGTGGAAGTCATGTTTTGCCTTTCTAATTAAATATTTGATTACACAAAGATAGCTTTAGTGAAAACCAAAGCTAAGCAAACAAACACTTGACAGAAAAAAAAAAATCTTTAATTTGGAGCTAAACAATTATAAAGAATCTTCCACAATAATGCATTGGCTCATGATGGAATTTTGAAAGTTTAAGAGCCTAGGTATCCCAAGTATGTGTCTGTATGATGCATAAACCTCCTAGCTGGTGAAATACAGGAAACAATATGCAGGCAGCCTTATGTGGACTTGCAAGATAGTCTCTAGATTAGAGATCCTGGTTTGCATAATAGCGTGTGCATGCTTGGGGTAAACCTGAGCTTTGGCTATGCATGAGGCACATAATGTGCCAAAATTTGCCCAAATTGACCTCTATTGTCATTATTATCAGGAATGCTGCATGCGGTTGGTTAACTTATGGTGACGTATTGGAATTTCTCAAAGGGATTTTAAATTAAAGACAAGAGAGGAATTGATATCAGAGGGATATATGTGTCAATGGCTTTCTTATGTACAATTACAAGAAAGGTTTAAAATAGATAAAAGGACTTATGATTCTGAATATGGTAAGACTGAGTTTGAAGCAGAATTACATACTAGTGATAAACATGTTATTGCAAAGATGTATAAACTTTTATTGAAACTAGAGA